CTTCAACAGGTAAACAACACACAAAACATAATTTATTAGAAAAGGCGACCTTCCTCCTTTGACTCCATGATGCAGTTCTGACACTCATGTGCCCATTGTAGGCACGTTTGGTGGGGAATCATTGAGTGCCCATAACTCTGTCACCCGTTTTCTTTCTTGGATCACTTTTGGTAAACCACTGCAAACCAGGAACACCATACAAGGCTTGCGGTTTTGGAGACTCTCAGACACAGTCATCCATCAATTTATCCATCCATTATCTATACACTGCGTAATCCTCACTAGGGTCGCGGGGGGCTGGAGTCTATCCCAGCCGACTCAGAACACCTTGGACACGTCACCAGTCTATCACAGGGAGACAGACAACAAGCACACTCACATTCACACCTCTGGACAATTTAGAATCACCAATTAACCTCAACATGTTTTTGGACTGTGGGAGGAGGCTGGAGAACCCACGGTGCATGGGGAGAACATGCAAAGATCCAGGGCGTCCTAACCGTCCCTAACCAGGGATCTTCTAGCTGTGAGGCGACAGTGCTAACCACCAAGCCACCTTGCATTCCCACAGTCATCCAGCCATCCCAAATTGTTTCATGTTGCTCAGATCCCTATGCTTCCATTTTTCCTGCTCACAAAACATCAGCTTCAAGAATTTGCTGCCTAATATATTCCACCCCTAGACAGGTGCCACGGTAACAACATAATCAATGTTAATCACTTCACCTGTCAGTGGTTTTAATGTTGTGGCTGAGCAGTCACTGCCTGCTCAGTCATCATAGTCGCATTACTAATGACCGGTTTGTCAAAATGCTCCTCTGTGTAAATATGTTATGAGAGCACCAACAGTGATCCTCTAGATTCTGTCACAATACTTGAGACGCTGAATGATATTTTAATATTTTACCTGCCCCGTGTGGGATGTTCATTGACAGGAAATCCAAAGAAGGCGCTACAAACACAATTTCCCGGCCACACGTGAGGATTGTTACATGTGCGCCGGGGTTGGTACAGTGGGTGAAAAGTTGTGGGCTGCTACGTGTCAGTGTGTGAGTAAGGGTCTTACATTTTCATGTTATATTTGGATGGGTGTGAGTAAGGGTCCTGTTGTGTATCTGATTTTGTGTGTGAGTAAGTCGGTAAGTGAGCAGCGGCTCGTTTCAGCCCACTCCCCTCTGCTGGAGTCTACGTCAGCCAGAGTCTATCTATGGCGGTTCGCTCATCCTCTGCCACCCCCATAGACATCCAGGCTCTAGACACACACACACACACACACGCAGGCCTTGTGTATGTACGCCACTTCTTTGGGTTTTGGGTGCAGCTCTACTATAAAAGTACTTTCACCGGGAGAAGCACTATAATAAGCACATGACTGGCGGCATCTTCCTCGAACAGCAGGACCATCTGGTGCTAGAGATAAACATTTAACCTGAACGTTACCGCTGGCAGCAAAGTGATTCCTGTCAAAGTTAGTGCAGATTAAACAATGCGTCTCAATTAACTCAGCGGCATCGAAGCCCTTCCGCTCGCTTTCGGTCGACGAGCAAGCCGACCGTCCTTTCAAGTGTGTTCGAGACATTACCGATTCTGTGTCACAACAACTGACTCCCAGTTCACCCTTAGTGGAATAATCACAAGGAATTGTGGGATACATAGCAACGGTTGCCAGTAGCCTCTTTCACTGAATGATGCTGACAGCTTCCAACCCTCATTCAGTGGCTAGCTGCTCCTTCAGTGGTATTTATAGCCGCTATTGATCGAGACAGATTTGGCTGAGAAGGAAAAGCAGCACTTGAGATTTAGCAACAGACTATAGAATAGGCTTTGTGTGTCTCGGGGTGTATGTGTGTGTGTGTGTGTAAATGGGGACCGTATGTCACAGTCACTCAGAAAGAGAGTGAGGCAATCGTGAGGCCGTCCCTTGTTCCTTCTGCACTCTTTACTTCTCTCTAGCCATTTACACTCCATTAAAGCGCTCTATGTGAACATCATCACATATTAAAAAGCTCTTTCAGCTGCTGCACTGTCCGCTCCGAACAACAAACCCATCTGCTTTAGCAGTCCCTACACACTTAAACTTGAGTCACTCGATCAATCCTTGCTGGTGGCTTGACTTACTGTAGGAGGTTACTATCTGAACACAGACTTGCTGGGGCTTTCTGTTTGGACTGCTGAAGGATGACTAATCGTCTATTTAAGGGGCTCAGGGCTTGACTCAAGACTTCGGGCACTCGGTAAATACACTCCACACGCTGAGGTGATGCAGTCCACTTTCAGAGAAACTGTAGGTGGTCAATTACTGTGATCAAACCATGATTTAGAGAAGGAAATGTAACACAATGAGGATGAATGGGTTGTTCTGACCTTTATTCTCCAATTCTTTCAATCATGAGTGGACTGAACTGGATGTTGAGACCTCACAGTGATATTTGCACAAATACAGCACCTTCATTTAGAGCGGGTTAAAGCTCTCGCCATTCGGCAGTGTAAGGGTAATTACTGTGATTATGTGTAAAAGAGTGACGCAGCTACTGTAGGTATGAGGCACAGCCCAGCACAATCAGCAGCGACAAGGCAGCTTTAATCACAGACAGGAAGGTCCTCCAGGCTATTACAGCTTTTACACAATGTTTACTGACTTTTGCATTTGTTTAAATTTGTAGACCCATGGGGCAGACAAATGGGGGCAAGCTCACAAACTGGCTCATGGGTATTGCAGTAAATAAGACACAGTATCTTTGCCTACATACATTCTGCCTTGTCAAACGCAGGTGCAGCTAATGGTGCACTGAAGCTAATAATGACCGCTTTCCACTTAGTCTTCATTAAAATCGTCATCTGTGCATTTCTTGACATGACAAGTCAAAATGTCTGATTTGAAAATGCTGCATTCAAATGAGCTGGGTGGCAGTGCCTTTAGATCTGCATTATGTGACAAATGTACTGTCCCAGAGAGGACGAAAATGCAACTATGCATCAGAGTATCTGGGGGTTGATAGGCTAATGGTCAGCACCAATCACACAACCATTAAAATGTCAAGTGATTCAATTTCTGGCTTTTTAAAAATGCTTTCCAGCACTCTGCCGTGGAATAATTCCTCCCACAAGCACCACCCTGAAATAACATCCACATAACTTTTGTCCTCGGACTAAAAACTAAAAGAAATATAATCTCTTTATCTTTTTTCTGGATGTAAAATCATATTATTTTCTGAAGATGACATTTTGAAATATTGTATGTTGAATACAGAAAAACCACAACTTGTGCCAGACAGTCAGTCAGTGTTGTATTTTCAGATGCAAAGCTATAACTTCTACAAATGGAAACCAAATACAATTTGAAAACCATTTGGCAACACATTCAGCCATTAGGGGCTCCATCTTCTGTGCAAAAAAAACTTGGGGACCATCGAAACTTTGTGTTTGTCTGGATTTACCAGCAGCCTTATTCACTATTTTTCTTTGCATTATTGAATGATCTATCAATTATTTTTCTTAATAAATCAATTAAATTTCAGAAAACATTGAAAAACACCAGTTACACATTCTTAAAGAACCTTTTTTATTGTCTAACAGTCCAAAATCACAAAAGCTTACAGTTCACTGTAATGTAAATTAACCAGCTAATGCGCTAATTGAAGAAGTTGCAGTGAATTTGTTATTTTACCTTTAAAAAAATGCTCATATGATTATAAAAAGGATTTAAATTTTTTTTCTAAATAATTTCCTAACAATCAACTAGTTCATCTATCCAGTAAACATTTCAGCTCTTGTTCCTTTCCCGCAAATCATGAATTGACCAAATATAGACGTGTGACAGCTTAGAGGAAAAACCAACATAAAGTGTTTTAATAAGCTGATGGATCGCCACATATAACCAGAACAGCCTCAGTGCACCTTGGCATTGATTTTCCAAGTCTCTGGAACTCTACCGGAGGGATGAACATCATTCTTCCAAAGGATATTTCTACATTTGATGTTTTGATGATAGTGGTGGAGAGCTCGGTCTAACACATTGGTCCATAATGTCATGGGTGGTCAACTGGGTTCAGGTCTGGAAACTGTGGAGGCCACAGCTTAGAATTCATATCATTTTCATACCAGTCAAACCATTCAGTGAGCTCTTATGCCCTATGGATGGAACCACTGTCATCCTGGAAGTGACCACTCCATCAGGACAGAAACGTTCCATTATGGGATAAAGATGATCACTGATTTGTAGGGACTTTTCCTTCTAAGGAGATAAGTGGACTAAAACCATGAAAGCAAAATGTCATTCACAGCATAACAGAGACACCTGATGGCCTCACTGTAGGGGTCAAGCATACAGGCCTTTATGGTTTTCTTGTTGCAGTGAACGCCACACGCCTTTTTGTTGAGAATACAGCAGATCACTGTTTTCCTGACATACTGAGCTAATGCACAAGCATCATGCTAATTGAATGTATGCTGTCAACCACAGTTTTCCTTCCACAGTTGTTGACTGATGCTTTTCCCACATATCTAAACACAGATGCCACCTGAGCTGCCGTTCGTTTTAAAACTGTAGCTAGCTGAGCAGCCTGTGTGACTGAAGCTCCTGCCATCTGTGCCCCAACAACAGAGCCACTTTTCACTGTTGCTTAAATCTCTTCCTTTTGCCATTTTGCAAAACCAGAGTCATGTGGTCCTACTAAGCATTTTTATATGCCCTCAGAGCATGACTGGATGTTAACTGCATAACTGTACCATGTAGTGCACACCTGTGTGGATGCATCTGTAATGTTTGTGTTTCTACTCTCACGTATTCTGTTTTGTTTTTTTGCCTTTGTCACCCATCTGAATGTTAATCTAGCCACTAACAGTTACAGCTGATGGGTAGCTCTGCTTTGTTACAACCATAATCTGTGTTAAAAGTCAATAGAGAAGGTAAGTTGTTCTTAAAAAGCTTTTATTTTCTATCCTGCAAGCTGAATTGGCATGTTAATGTTCATTCTCCAGACATCACAGCTGTATTTTACCTGGCCAGCGCCTGGACCTTGGCTGAGTGTCTCTCCTCCAGCTCTGCCAGCCTCTTCTTCAGCAGATCAGTTTCCTGCCTCAGGCCCGCTGAGTGCTCCATCTCCCCATCCAGCAGACTGCGAAGAGACCTACACAGTCCACGAAGCAGATCACACTCATGTTTCATGTTTGTGTATAAAATACAGCAGGTTTCTGCCACATCCACATTTAACTGATATCTAGCACAGACCTAATCCTCTTTATTTAGATGTACTAAATGTTGACATTCTGGTAATGCTATTTTCATAAACAGTAGATTAGATAAACATTCTGCTTGCAGTAATAACTCAGAGGCTGAATCATATTTAGCTCTGATATAAAACACTTAATCAACGCACATCTGTGACTGCATCGCTAATTTAATACCCAAATCAGAATTTATCATGAAAATCTAAATACTGCTTGGTAGAAGATTCACAGTGATTGTGATTAAATGCCAAGGTGTATTAAAATAATTGGACTTTTTTTTCCGATCATTCCAACAGGATTTTATTTAGCTATGCTTTTCATAACAATGTTTGTCAGCAGCTGTTACATGAATGTGAAGGACCTCTCTGGAGGATTACTGCTAAAAACAAAACCGCTTCCGGCCGCAAGTCAGCACAAAAAAAGCCTTTTGTCTCAGGGTAAACGGAAAACAAGCTGACACAATTTTCACTGAAAGGTCATCCGATAGCTTCTTCCAGTCTCTGTGCGAGTATGTGTGTTTGACAGTTAGTAAGTAACGGCAAAGGAGAATGTATCTGAACATACGTGTTTTGCTCCTCCAGCTCGTCCTTCCTGTTCATCATGGCTACAATGGCCTGTCGCAGCTCCACTGCAGAATAAAGAGACCGGGGTGAGACTTCTGCACTGAAACTACTTCAAATACAGAAAACACACACAGACGCTGCACACAGTAATATGCATAAACTAATAACCTACAGTTTTCAAATGTAGAAATAACAGCATCCCACACGCCACACTTGCCGGATTAATGCAACGCTTTTGTTCCGTCGCAGAGATGAACTGCTTTGATAAAATCAGGTTTTACTTTTTGCAGCTGACAGGAGTTGTACAGAATGAGATCTATCTGGCTCACAGAGAGCAGCGGTTTTATTGCTACAATAAAACAGACTTTCTTTCTTTTTTGGAGCTACTATAAAACTTTGAAGAAAGAAGCTAATCTGAGAAAAATGTAGGAGAAACACACCGGCTACCATTTGCATGAAACTCTGTGTCATGAAAACATCAAAGTAAACTCTTCTTCGCTATTATAGTAACGAAAAGGAACAATTACCAATGAATTATGGCCAAATGAAATGCCGTTTTGCAACAGGGCTTTGGCTGTAAAAAGCCTAAAGTGATCATTAGAACCTCCAGCAGATGTGCCCACTTTATACTCAATCTTCACAACACAGCACAAACACAATGCTAAATGGTCATACGTCTCTCCTAAAGCTTTGTGACGCTACTTCAGTTCCCACTATTACAACTGTCAGCAGGACAAGAAATCCTTTTTTTGGCAACTTTGCTTATACACGTGAAAACCAACACCTTCTATATTCATTGTGTTACCAGTCAGCTTACTCAGCTGAAAATAATATTGAGTGTTCATAAATCCGCTGCTATATTCAGTTAATGTTTGCCCGTAATAAAACATGCATGTATGGAGAAGTTTTTCTAATATAGAATCATCATATGATTATATTGAATTATGTTTGCTTTTCCGTCCTGACAAGAATGTGCTTCAAAGTCTGTGAATGCTTTAAATTTGTGTCTATTTTCTTCTCCACGTGTCAACAAGACATCATCAGCAGTTTAATTCCAAATTAAACTTTCGACCTGATGCTGACACAAGATGAGACTGAAAGGGATTACCAAAGTTGTGACAATATTTTCCGTTATCAAATTTCGCAGCAATCCAACCTGCAGTTGACAAGACATTTCCTAAAAAGCCAAGGGGTCCCTTTAGTCATTATTTAGCATCATCTGGGAACTGTAATTGTCAAAATTTGCATCAGTCTATGAAATAAATGTTGACATGTTTTTACCGAAGAAGGAAAAACCTGCTGGTGGCACTAGATGAAAAATTTGGAAATCACCAAATTCATTAGGATTCATCATCTCAGAGCAATAAATCGAATAGTTATTTAGCTATTGACATGGAAAAGAAGTGCTAGAAGAATTATTTTTTTTAAAGCGGATATGTGAGGGTACAAGAAGATCTGTGACCAAAAGAAATAAATCACTGGAAACAGCAGCAGCAGTAATCAAAAGGTACAGAAGCAGCCATAGTACAACTAATCAGAGCCACAGTGGTCGTTCTTCTAAAATGACGCCCTGAACAGTACACCAGTTGCACAATAAAGCTCTGAAAAATAGACGGGCAGGTGCTTCAGAAGTGGCACAGTGGTCATCAATAGAAATCAGGGTTCCTGTGACAGCTTAGACAGTGTGGAGGACATTTCATGACATTAACTTCTACACAGGACATCCATGGAAAAAAAAAAAAAAAAACTTGCTTGCTCTTTGGCACAAAAGTTACACATTCAACTTTACATAAAAAGAAACTTGAGGAATGTTGGGAGCACAGTCTTTGGTCAGAACAAGATGAATATGTTTGCCTCTGATGCGGTTCAGCATGTTGCCACGACTACCACAGTGAACGCATAGTCCCAACAGTGAAGCACGGCGGTGGGATTGTAATGATGAGGTTGCCTGAGAGCAACAGGTGATGGGGAAATGAATTTGGGATATTTTAAAGAAAAATACAGAGCATCACAAGCCCTCCAGCAAAGAGCAGCTGAAAGAAAATGTCCCTGAAGAATGACAGAGCATCCCTCCAGATTTTGTGCAACCCTGATATCCTCCATGGAGAGGAGTATGGAATCTGTCATCACATATAAAGGTGGACACTCCTGAGCTCCTGTGGGGCCTGTGTTGTTATTATAGTAGATGTAAACTGCAATTTTTCAATGTAACATGTTACCAAATATCCGACCATTCAGCTTAGAACTAATGCAATTAATTAGTGATGGAATAAATAGTATGTAGCGAAAATGTTAAACTCTATTCTCAACAAATACAGACAATATGTGTTTCCATGTTTGGCCTATAAAGCTGATTCTAATAGAACACAGAGCTGTAGCCTTGACAGCAGACAATACTTCAAGTTTGGATGTTGCTGCAAAAACGGAAAAAGTTCTAAAATCTGGTTGCACGGACGCATGAAAAAATTGCAGTATTATATTGGTTCATATAATTAATAATGTTAAAAACATTTCTGCCTGTTCAGTTCAATACATTTATAATATGACATGAGTGTCTACTGTGGGGTACCTGAATTAATCACATGGCTATGTGGGTATGTTTAGAGAACAACGATTAAAATAGGTCACTTTGGATTTGGGAAAACAGTTTTTTTTACTCATGAGTGAACATTTTATAGACTGGACAATCAAAACAGAGAAACAATAATGGAGCTACGGATCACTAATGAATAACGGTCTATTGCACCACTTTGTGTTATTTGCATCACATGTGAGCCAGAAACTTTCATTTAAGACTCTCAGTTTCTCGTGCAGGCTTAAAGCATCAGTCAGTCGAATGTTATCATCCACAGCCAAAGTCTGCTAGCAGTCAGCTGCTGGGTGATGTTAATCTCCATCCTGATGCTGCGGACAGATTCGGGCCGGGCTGTGTGGCAGTTCGGTGACTCATCTCCATAGTTACGCTGGGAGGTGCACATAGAGGTTTCAAAGCTTCTAACTAGGCTGTTACCAGGACTTCCAAAAATAACAACCGTGAGACAAGGAGTTAATCTCCACTGCACTTTGTGCTCCACCAGACGAGAAGAGACCACAACTCTGTTTTCATAATTATTGTGGGGTGTCAGTGAGTAGCCCCGGATACAAGTAGGTCTCCTCCAGCCCCGAGCTAAGCGCCTGGTTAGGGGAGGAAGGGAAGAAAAAGGGAGGAGAAGGAGGAGCGAGATGAAGAGCACAACAGAGAGGAGAAAAGAGGAAGTCTATTATCTCCATAGCTCCATTCTCTACATCGGCAGGCCAGAAATAAATGTGACCTTTAGTCCGACCACGCGTTCACAGCGGGTGCCACGGACGAGCCATTAGGGACTCCAGTAGAGCCAGACGCCCCTCCGTCCTCACAGGGGGATGAGGACAAATTACAGCAGAAGAGCGTGCATGTGTGCGGGAAAACGTATACATTCACTGTGCTCCAACATGTAAGAGCCACATTTCAAGGGAAGAAAACTGTGTGCGTGTGCGTGTTGAGTGTGCACACCCTCCACCAGAACATACACGCTCTTGTTCAATTGTTCCAATAATAGAAGCATTAGTAGAGAGCCAGGCCATGTAATCGAGGTGCCTTGTGAATTATAGACTCTATACTCGCCAATCAATGGACTGCCTGGCCTCACATGCTGTCAGATCCGGCTGGAAAGCAGTGAAGGAGAGCTAACGCCGCACACCTCTTCCTCTTCAATGCCTTTTTTCTTCTGAGTTTCTCTCTCTTACCTTGAAAAACCAGCAGTTTTAAAAAAAAAAAAATCCACCTGCCTGTCATCACAAATCCTTGATCTTTAGCAGTTTTTGCTGTTCTTTAGCAGTAAACATACAAATGTTGTCATCACATACTGCTAATTTTCTTATGCACAGTGATTCTTTTGCATCGCCGTATGAGCCAATCAACCACTGATTTTAATTCCTTACTTAATCAACAAGCCATATGTGGTTGTACATACACAATTATAGGAAACTCAAAAGAATGCAACCAGCTCAGGAGTACACCTCCCTGACAGGCGTATATAAAATTGGTGGAGTGTCTCTTTATTAAATCTTACCTTTTTGAATATATAAGTGGTATAACGGGGTAAGAATGTATGTTTAAGCTCTGTTTAAGGCCAACGTAAATTATGTTTGTTTTGCTAGAAGGCAAAATCTACAGTGACAGGTTTTTTTTGTTTTGTTTTTTTTAATCAGCACATTATCAATTTGTGATGTTTAATGCACTCCTTGGGGGTTTTCCTGCATTTCTCAGACCAACTTCGCACAAACCCCTTTAGAACCGTTGCTTTGGGTTAGGCGAGTAGGCGGAGAGAGCAAAACCAAGCGAGCCGGTGATGGCGAGGGCAAGGCAGCGAGATCGAGAAAAAAGTTCTGGTCTTTTGCTCAAAATGTAAAAAAAATCAGTTTTGGCTGCCATGCATTCTGATTTATTGAACCAAGTAGGCGTAAAAAATGGTATCTCTGCCTCTGTCGCGATGGATTTCTCCCTGAGTGATGTGAGCGAGTCTGGAGAGAAGCTCTTTGCTCTGCAGTTCTGAGGGTCCGACACTAAAATGTGATGTTACAGTGTTCTTTTAACCAAAACGCTCTCCTTGACTGGAGGTCTGCTGCTTTACATCTTGCTAAGGCCTCACAGAGCTTTGCACCAGGAAGTCTATTCTCTGTGGCTCGACAATAGGGATTTTTCTGATCACCGGCTCCCTCTCTCTCTCTGACTCTGTGACCTCCTCTTACCGAGGGCTAACACACCAAACGACGGCTCAGTCCAGGCGATTACCAGCAGTTCCGCTCACCTTTCCTCCTCTGGCTTTCTGTCTCTCCCTCTCCTGCTCACACACAACAAATCCCCCCAAAAAATAAAAAATCAAACAGCATCCGTTTGAGCGTCTAAGGGTCTAAGCTCTGATTAGCTCCGGGGCGCTGAGCAGAACACCAACTACACTCCAGGCAAGGGCAAAAAAAAAAAAAAAAAAACTGCATGAGTGGGTCACACGTATAAAATGCTTATCTTGTGTTTTGTGCTTTTTTTCCCATCCACATTACAAATCTGATGCAAATTTCACTCGATATGATTTTTTTTCTCTCACAAGCAAAGATCCTGACAAGCAAATGAGTGTGCACATACTGTATATACAGTAACACGTCCATACACTGGACCAACAGTGCCACCTGGTGGATCGTTATGGAGAATATTATGGAAAAGCAATGAACTTCTCTTGGCACAGGACTTCACTCACAACAATTAGATGACTTTATCTGCAAAGAAAAACAACGAGGTTTGAGCACAGCTTGATTTAATTTGCTACAGACGACAGCTGTGGCGAAACTTCCCGACAAACACACATCGGGACTTTCAAAGGGTTCATTAGCATCCCAGACGTTCTGGCACTACACCCAGAAATGTGATCGTCTTCCGATAAAGCCTCAAGAGAAATTCAACAATTGTGATTTTTGCGGTCATGTCTAGTGTTAATCATATGTATGTTTAACTCAATTTATCTTCAGCATGACAAAGGAATTGCGTCTGCATTGGGCCCTTAACTGTTCTGATTCTGTGCAGTGACATTTCTCAAATGTTGGCTTATGTAAGGATAAACAAACCTAAACCTAAAGGTTTGAGGTTGGACAGTGTGTTTGAAAAGCTAGATTTTAATCCCTGTTTCACAAAGCGTAAATGTAATTTCGCTAGTTAACATAATATTTTGTTTTGCCTCTATTAGAGGAGTTTCTGCAGTGCATGACTGTCGACTCTCCAGGTCCTCTTGAGGTTTTCTTAGAAGATAATCTCATCTCAGCGTGTATCCCTAAGAAGCTACTGAAGGTCATGCATCATTTGAATCATAAATGTACAAGTGATGACATGTTTTTTGTTTAGAAGTCTCACCACAGCCATAACAAATGAAATCCACCTTGCTGATGAGCGAGTTCAAACCTCGTTTTTTTTTTTTAACTTATTTGCATTTTTGCAGCGTGATCTAATTGCAGTGACTGTGAAAAGACACTGCTCGGTAGTCTTTCCTCCTGGCTTGCATGCAGCTTAATCCATGATGATTCATACTACAGAACAGGTTTGAGAACACACAGAACGGGAAAAGTGAGAAGCAGCGAGAAATACTAAGAGACAGACAGCTGGAGAAAGACGAAACACTCACCCACTGTCATGGACTCTGGCAAACCAGATGTTGGCAACACGGTGGAGAGTGGAGCAGAGTGCGTCGGTGGACTGGACTCCATACTGAAGCAAATGAAGAGAGCAATCAGGGGCACTTTGAATTATTTCACAATTCAGCTTGCACATAAAGCTGCTGCACAATATCAGACAAGGTAGGCTTGCCTGTTCAGTTTTGTGACAATAACTGATGACTATTTCGCCGCGCTCTGCAAATAATTCACACAGGAACACATCACTTCTGCCTGAAACGACAGCTTACTTGAATGTCAGCTGTGATCTGCTGCTCTCACAGTTTCCCACCGATCCTGTCGACTCACACTGAGCAGGAAACGCAGCCGTGTCCTCCACAGAGCTCACTGAAACAAAATGGAAGTGAAAGTAAAGGCCAGCTTAGAAAGTCCCTGCAATTTCATCCGACGGGCGACTGATTCTTTCACCAAAGCTATAAGTAGGTGTTGTCAGCGAGGGGAGAAAAAAACGATACAACAATAGTGGCGGAAGCTATGTTTGGAAGTAAGAAAGAGTGCAGCAGTGTAGGCTAAAGGTGCTCAGGAGATTAAAAACTGACTGGCACAGAGGGCATGAGGAAGTGTGTTTATTGTCCATTGTAAGTGCTTTGTTTTGGTGTAACTGCTTTACTACCTGGCTGAGGGTCTGCAGGGTTCAGAGGAATGAGGATATCCGAGCTGCTGTGTTCAGCCATGACCTGTAGAGGGCTCCACGTGGACACACTGGACAGACTGCCCACCACCACCCTGACACGAGGCAATCACAGTCAGTTTAGTTGTTGTTTTTCCAGAGGAATCAATGCAATTCAGTCACGTTCTGCCCTCATAGCTCAGCTGTGGGCATTCTGGATGAAAAGCTCAAGTTTATTTCTGGGTGTTCAGTCTGCCGCTTTTTTCAAAACAGATTAAAAGATACCAATTTGCAATGGACATCAGGGGCAACGGCATCCTCAGACAGTGTAAGTCACACTGAATCTAAAATCATGTATCATGTTTGTGTGTTTAGAGACTTGACTCAGAGCAGAAGATGATTAAGTACATTAATTAGCAGGCCAAATTACAGATTACAACTTTCTGCTGTTTTTTAAATAGCACCACCTGTCACATTGAGCTCATCTGGTATTTTTGCCTCGTGTCTCTCCAGATCTGGGGAGGTGTGCTTCCACATTATTATAAAACCTTTGGTCCATTTTATTAGTCTGGTGTGTGATGAATAAATGTCAGGACCAGAGTAGAGGGCTGTACACACAAGAAAAGACCAGCAGTGATGTGGCAACCAGAGACCATGGAAGTCACATGTGAATTAACTGTTAACGAAGCAAAGTGGATACTGTTTTGCTGTTTTACTGATTTGCATATGGATCCATCACTGAGTTCCCCAAATGTTTACCACAAGGAAACAACGTGTTTCTACTGCCTCGACCTCATCAAAATGAAAGAGCAGCTCATCGTTGCAGTCTTCATCAAGCCCGAAATGTAAAACTCATGTGTTATATCTGATTATTGAAAAAGGCTTTCGTCTTACGGTTGTCATCTGTAACCTGCTTCATGTGTGAAGTGAAAGAAATTAAACGTATGAGCGTATGTTAGCCAGTTTCACTCAAAAACATCTTGGGAGCTATACCGCAGTGTTACCTGGGCAACCAGAGTTAGCAATGTTCACTAGCGAACCGTTACACACGTGTAATGGGCTTTAAAGCAAAATACTTTTCCTTTTTGTTCTTGCTATTTGCTCTGATTCGGGTGAAATAATGTAATGTAGACATGAGATAATAATGTAACTTGCACTACATTGTTGAAAATCAGCCCAATATTAATGGTCCATCTTCTACCATTCTTCTTTTTCTGCTTTTCCAAAAGCAAACACACTTTGTTCTTATTCATCACTGGCAGCAGCACAGACTTTGACAACTAATAATAAAGCAGGATGAAACGAAAATATGGTTATTTGCTGTAATTATGATATAATTACTATTTTTATGGTCTGCTTTTCAATTTCATTAGCATCTTATTATCATCAAATGATTTTTTTTGTCACCGATCAGAGCAGGATTCAGAATAAAAGGTCTCTATTGTTGTATCTTTTAATTATTAAGACACTGAGCTGAAGGCCTCTAACTCACTGATCAGAAGCGATCCTCTCCTCCTCCTGGGTTTGTGCTCTGGGTTTGTACATCTCCTCCTCTTCCTCCTCCTCCTCGTTGTCTATACTCTTGCTGTCAGGCAGAGGAGGCGTAGCTATGGGAGGTGTGCGGCAGGGATGTGGGGACCCCACCCAGCTCACGATGCCCAGCTCAGCCAGGCCATTCTGGGCAGGAGACTCCGAGAAGGCGGGCTCCAAAGGGTCTACCCCTTCCTCCACACTGCTCTGAGCGGGAGCCGTGTGACTCTTCCTCATCGCACCCGTCTTTTGGGAGTCCTCCTCCCCCTCCTCTTCATCTTCAGCTCCTCCATCCAGATCATCATCAAAGGAAATGATGTTGGTGATCTTCTTTTTCCTCCGGCGCTCTTTCCTCAGCCCTGAGTCTGGTTGGGAAAAGATGAAAAAGGATTGAACAAAAACCTCAATTTCAACCTTGAATTAAGAAAGACTCAAATTAATTCAGTGGCTTTAACTTGTCAGGACCAGTTTCATGTCATTGCAGCAAAGTTCAGCACTGATGGCATCAGCACATTTAGTTTATTTCAGTCTTATCTGTCGAGAAGCACCGATCTAAACGCTTCCATTATGCACTCCTTTAAACTGCAGAAAGCAATAAGGCAGGCCTGTCTACTTTCTCCAGCATTGTTCCACTATAATGACAACAACATAGTGCTGTCTTTAGAGTGGCATCATTATTGCAATATAGTGCTATCATTATCAATAACAAACAAAATTATTCAGGAATATTCTGCTTATAAAACAAACTGTAGCAAAGCAGAACTTTTGCCATTATTGAACACTGTAAAAAAAAAAAAGTCGGGGGTTTTAAAAAACACAGATTAGCTGTCTTACAAAAGGCACCAACATTTTCAAGGACTAAAAATATCAATTTAAAGCTTATTTGCAGAAAATATTGGACTCGGGGGGGGAAGGGGGTATTTTTTTGTCCCTGCGTGGTTGGATAAACATAATCAATATGATGATACTGCCGACGAGAAATTGTTTACTGAAAACTGTCATTTCCCAAAGTGGTTTTCAACACAGTTATTTCATTCATTTTATATGGAGAAAGAAAAGAAAAAGATTTAATAGACTTTGCTAGACACGCCAATTAATCCTATTAAAGCAGCATCAAAATGTCCCAGCGTGTAAGTGCAGCACAATCCTCTTCTTTGGCTGAATGCAAACAAATAAAACACTACACAGGACTTGATGAAAGCAAAAAGATATTTGCAATTTTCAAGGCGCAATATACAGGATTTCAAACATAAATATGGCATTGATATAGCAACAAACTACTATATGCTATGTGAATAGTGCAGTAATAGTGTCCTTGAATGAAATCACACTCACTCTTTGTGTGTTTTGTAATCTGCACTTCTCTGTTCTATGTTTTGTCAGTCGGTCTAGCTGCACGTTGGGGCGTGTGAGTCCCTCCCTTTGAAACTGTTGACCCTCCCTACATATAAACAGACTAAGACTGACCCCCGACACCCGACTGTTAAAGTACAATCCAGCCAGAAGCACAATTCTAGTGTAGCCTAATGGTTGTGTCTGGATTATTTTTTTTGTTGGCTCATGTGTACACAACCTTTTTGCTTATTTTTTGGGGGTTGGGGCTGCAAGGTGGCTCAGCGGTTAGCATTGCTGCCTCGCAGCAAGAAGGTCGTCGGTTCGCATCCCGGTGAGGACACCAGGGATCTTTCTGCGTTGAGTTTGCATGTTCTCTGGGAGTTCTCCGGCTTCCTCCCACAGTCCAAAAACATGTTGAGGTTAATTGGTGATTCTAAATTGTCTGTAGGTGTGAATGTGAGTGTGCTTGGTTGTCTGTCTCTAAGTGTAGCCCTGTGATAGACTGGTGACCTGTCCAGGGTGTCCCCTGCCTTCACCCTGAGTCAGCTGGGATAGACTCCAGCCCCCTTCCCCTCCCGCGACCCTAGTGAGGATAAAGCGGTGTAGAGATAATGGATGGATGTGACATCTGAATGTTGTATATAGTGCCTTCAAAAATGTGATTAGGAACAATAACTTTCTGCCATATCACAGACAATTTCAAATAAAGACTTTTTAAAATATAAAAACATACTGTAAATAAAGTGTTTTTGTTTCATAATCGCCAACATAGATGTACAAAATGTTTTACACTTCAGTAAAACACCACAACCCACACTGTGCTTAGAAGATGTGCAGAACTCTGGATGAGTGATTCACCTTTAAATAATCTCAAATCAGATAGAAGTTATTATTTGGACAAATACCAGAAAACCTTTTCGGGCCACTGGCAATGCATTTGATACAAGCTGGAGAAGTGCACTGATGTAAGGAGTTTTTTTGTTTTTTTTTTTAGCTTTCCTGCAAATTATAAAACATTTGAATTTCTTTTTGTGCCAAATCATGTGCAATGGACACAGAAAAGATGTAGTGATGATTCTACATCTACTGACATAAAGTGATGGCTCTACAGGCAATCTGTCTTGTTGTTTAAGGTTTACTCTGACTTATTGGCATATATAGTAGATTTATGCTTACTTTTATGCAATTATAAGCTGTTTTGTAATTTCTTAAGATTTTGAAAGAAAGAAATGAATGAAAGTGTTAACAAAAAGACTGTCTCTTTCTCTTCTGAGCCAGAAAGGCTGGTTGTGCATTAGCAGGTCTTGTACCAGTGCATAATCCTGAATGGGTCTTCCCACTTTGAGGAGCTGGTGCACCAGCTTAGAATTTCACTCACATTCATTCCAGCGGAAAGTTTTGGCATCACACACTTCAAATTTAAAAGCTTGTTAGTCCCATTGAGCAGAACATATGGAGAGAAAACGGTGTGAGTTTTCCCTGAAGGGAAAGACCGGGGCAGACGGCTAAATGAGGTCAGACAGGGAGGCCGACTTCACGGGGGATTTCTTCGCTGCTACAGATGCCTTGAGTTGCATCCACGAGATTTGTTCCACCAGTGAATCCATTATGCAAGCAGACTGAGCCATATGTTGTTTTTAGTGTTTGTGCTGTTCTGTGACGTTTTTGTGACACTGTCAGTGTGCTGCAATACAAAAACAAGATGTGCCCATTCTCTGTCAGATCCCTGCATTAGAGGGGTGGACAAAATAAGAGAAATACTTTATGATTTGGTGAGATATTGGTTGGTGATGCAAGGTTTGACCCATTACCTGGAGGTCAGGTAGGTTCAGGTAAGCTGAGTAGAAACTATCACAGGTCTGGGGTTGTCTGGTTTAAAAAGTGACAAAGCAACATCCTATGTTAAATATGACTCACAATGGGCCAAGCTGTGATCACTAGTCCACCTTTTCTCTTCTTTTATCCTCTATGTCACGTTGTCTTTGAAACACATGCAAGCTTTAGATGGTGTAGGTTAATAACTTTGCATAAAATTTAAAAGGTGTATTTACACAATACTTTAAAAAACAGCCTGAAAATACAACTGTAGCAGGCAGAGAAGGAAGATCACTGTATAAACTAAATTGTCAATCGTTGTACAGTGAAGATTGTGAGTCAGGTGACGTGGGTTGCGGGTTGAGAGGTGCCGACTGGCTCTCATAACGGGTCACATGGGTGCAGTTATTAAAAAAACCCTTCAATTTGTAGAACAGTTTGATTTTTGTTGCTGATTGATCAATTATAAAATCAAATTTTGCAATCTGCATGAGACAGAAAAGCTCATATAACCAGGCTATGTATGCTGAAGAAAACAGTATTAGCAAAAAGGAACACTGGTCAAAAGTTGAAAGAAGACAGTCACTTTTACATTTCTTCTACAGCAATTTTAAAAACAGCACATGAAACGTTGCTGTTTCCTACCAGCTGAGGTGCTGCGTGGCAGCACAGGTAGAGGGTCTGAGGCTCCGTCCACTCTGGGGGTGAAGCCGGGCACCACAGCTGTGGCAGTGCTGATCTCCCGCAGCAGGCTGCTGACTCCCTGAGTCGACTCCTTCCACAGGCTGCCGATGCCCTGCGTGGACTCTTTGAGCAGGTGGGACACTGAGGAGGCTCCTCGTGTCACCCCACCGTTCAGGTCAGTGTTGTCGATGTTGATGGCAAACAGGATGGAGTTCAAACCTGAGTGCAGTAGAGAGAGAGTAATTCATTACAGGACAGGCGTGGTGAATCACACGAAGCGTTTGAACTTCAGGCAAACTGCTTGGTAAGCATTTCTGGACACACGCATTGAGAACAGGCAAACTCAGACGAACTCAGGCGATCTGCTTGTGTATGAAAAGAGAAAAATGCTTTGGCATAAGATCAGTGGTAAATATTCTTAATATTTTAGCGTTTCTGTTCATCTGAGTGGTGCTCATCAATAGTTGAACAGTCAGAGAACAGTCATTAACGCAAACAGGGTCAATTCTCAGTAAAGGCGGACTTACTTAACAAGTAAAGTGCAAAGTCAGCTAATTTACTGCTTTTACAGCAGCTCTGTTTGCGTGTAGCAATTTCAGTGAGATTAAATGTGAAGCAGTAATGCTCATTATACACCAGAACGTAACATTTGGGGATGAAAAATGAAGGCACAACTTTGCTGTTTTTAGATCCCAACCACTAATGGGCCAATAAAATATAGTGTGGCCTGGGAAAAGCAACAGAATACATTAAAAGGGTATTCCCTCTGCATGGTGGTCATTTTAGGACATTTTATGTTGTCAGACTTGCTACCACTGACATATCAATATGCTAAATAATAACAAGTTAACACACTAACTGCAACATGTCATAATGCTAAATAAAAACATTTTAACATGCCAAAATTACCATAATCTTAATACTCCATTATCTGCTAACATGGAATAAAGTGATGTCAAAACTCACCTGCAGCCATGGTGGGCAGCATACTTGCTCTTTCTTCATCCAGAACAAAAGCCCAGTCTTCATAGTACGTTCTAGACAATAGAGAAGAGCTAAAGTAACACCTCTAATCAAGACGCAATGAAGAAGTCCTGCAAAACTGAGGAAATTCCAGCCATACAGAGCATAACTGTAGAGGTGACTTACAAATAGAGGACATATGCAAGCTCACATAAATATGCAAAAAATGTGTTCTTATATGAGTTTCTTACATTCTGAAAATGCAAATGTCTTTGTTACTGAGGTCACAGGTAAGGGTGATTCATCAAAAAGAAACCATACATAAATCATACACACACACAGAGTTATGTATCCGGACTTCAGAAGACATTACAATGACTTAAGGCCTTTTCAGACATGCGATATGTAACACTGCAGCTTTATCAGTCTGTTAAAGTGACAGCATTCTGTCATTCACACATCAGTCACTTTTACAATAATGTTCCTCACAGCAACAGCCAAACCCACCACAGTGACAAAGAAAGTCATGATACACACACAATATTTGGCATGCAAGAAGGTTGGACGGCACATTAAGTGATGTATAATGCACTAATAAACAAAAGACTGAATCTAAGCTGATGAAAAACGTATCTTATTGCTCAACTAAACTGTTTATTTATGACTTCCTAAACAGTGAAAATTCTGTCCATGTGCAATGATAATCTAACTGCTGTACTCACAGTAAAGTTAAAATATCATGACAGCTGTGGAGGACCTGGTCACTGTTAGATCCTGATCAATCCTGCCTCCATGTCGGGGATCATTTAGGATTATAGATAATAAATTACACTACTTCTGTTGCTCCACGGGTGTAAATGCAAACCGTTATCTTAATTTGGAGACGCTCATATGGTTCCTGCTGCCGTCTCATGCGGCAGGTATTTAATAAACTTAGTGGAACGACTCTTACAAACACCTGGAAGCAACAAAGTAGACTTCAGCTCCTGTTAATGTTTTATCCAAACGTGCATTACATTAATTATTGGTATGTCTCATTAATCTGATCTGTTATAGATTCTGTCTTCATCCCAGGAAAGCGTTGTCTTCATGGACATTTCGGTTTGTAATAGATGTAAAATTGCAGTGAATGAGAAAGGTATGCTGTCATTTTGGCATGTAAACTCTTCTCCCTGGTATGTTTTAGACAAATATTAGAGATTAATTGTGGAACAGTTTTTCCCTGTTCTTACATACATGATACAGAAGTGGAGCACAGTCCAACCTAGTAAGATTGCTGGCGTGACTTTTACAGAAAAGTGACCAAATTACTCCTTCAAACCTGAAGCTGACTAGTTCAGATGCTGTCAGATTCATGAAAAGAAGTGCATGTCTGAAAGGGGCTTTCCAATCATCTCCTGGAGACTTATTCCAACTTTAACCATAGCTGCTATAATCTCAACACTTACTCTAACCTTCAACCCCTAATTTAATGATTTCTGGGGATTTGATTCTGACACATAACTATAACTGTGTAAACAGATTTAGCTACCCACAACATGAGTAACACCTGGATCACAGACACACAGATACACAAACTAACCCCAGACGTGGGCGGTCGGCCAGCAGCGTGTGCAGGTAGCGCTCCAGCGAGTGCTCGTTGAGGGCACAGCGCAGCCAGGCTCGACCCCGGCCGAGCTCTGAGGAGATCTGGCGTAGGGAGTAGAAGCGCTGGAGCTCGTGGCGGTTCAGATGCTCCTTCACGTAGAACCAGAAAGTCAGCTCTGGTGGTGAACAACAAGAGAGAGGAGGAGAAAGAGAGGAAATGAGCAAGGTTAATAGAAAAAAAGGCAGGCAGGAGAAAGCACAGAGGGCACATGAAGTGAAAAAAGACTAGTAAGAGCAAAACAGACAAAGGAGAAGAGATCAGCTCTATCTCACTTGTGAAAAACAACTGTCCTCAAGTTATAATAGGTTCAGAAGGTCAGCGAAGTAGCCGCAAAGAAACCTCTGGAGTCCTGAAATTGGGCTCATCTCCACTCTCTCATTAACAAACATCCACATCTCCTTTCACACAGCTCCATCCTGACTACCTCCCCATGTCACCTCTCCATATTTTGCTCCCACCTCACACCTCAAGCAACATGTCTCATTTCTATACCACAGCAACTGAAAGATAAAAGACATGCAGGTCTTCTGAGGTGTGGTAATTAATAGGAATGAGTGTTATGCTGCTCGTTTGCACACAATTACCGTATGACCTCAGAACAATGTGGTAAAATTATGGCTGCTATTTCTAGCTTTGTCAGAGGGTTCGGCTTCATTAAGGAGCTCCAAATCCATGAGTTCAGCCGCAATCCTGTCTTCTAATTGACTGTGAAATACAGGAAAACGTCAGATATGCTAATGGTTATGCGGTGGCAGCCATTACAGAAGTCAGGCACTGCTCCTCCATTTGGAATTAATAGCTACGCATTTCTTAAATATGACACAGTAGAAACAGTTCAGTATAATGTGAAGCTAATGTCTCAGCCGACAGAATGAGCTTTGCTGGTTCTGGTGGCTGCAAATGAAACTGAATGTTGAAGCTTTTCTGACAGATATCCCACACAGCAGTGACTCCAAGCCAGGGGTGCCTGTATCCAAAAGCGAGTACAGTATCTGTATTTGCCAAGCAGGTAAAAGGTTGAAAGGCTCAGGTAACTTGATGAAACAGAAATCACAAACTCCTGAACAGCATCTATATAGAACGACTTATGGAAGCATATTAGTGCCACGTCAGCTGTGATCTATCATCACAATATAACATGAAACACTTCATGTTACAGCAAGATAAATGGCATATCGTTATAACAAAAAGAATTGTGTGTCATCATAACGTGAAAACATCTTGTTATAAAAGTACATTTTTCATTATATTGTGAAACTAATTTATTTTTTCTTTTGCTGGTGTGCTCGCAATACACTCCGGTAGCTGATCAGACTACAAGAAAAGTTTGGGAAGTACTTTCCTAGAGCACACATGCTGCAATCCTCACTTGCAGCATATATAATCAATATTACATTTCTACAGTAGTATACTCAGACAGCTGTACCTTTTGCAAAAGTTTTTTTTTTAAATGTGTAAAAATACTTTGACAAACTGGGAAGTTGAGGGGTGGCTGTAATAAAAATGCAGTTCTCTTCATCAGGGAGCATGTTCAACAAGCAGAATCCTGAAAATGAGTAAAAGATATAGAAAAAGATGGATGTTTGACTTTTCTAACCCAACTAAAACTTTGCAGTTTTATAACCAGGGGTTTTCAAATAGGCAGAAATAACAAGAAACAGGCCTGTTCTGATCAGTCATGCTTGCTGGCGTGTGTAGTCGCCCCCCCAAAGGCCCGAGAGAGACAAAACCCTGATAATGAATAAAATATTCAAGTTGGTTTTATGGCTGCACCATTACATCAACTGGAAATATCCCGGTTCTATCACTTCATGTCCCTGTGATTCAGCATGCCGCAGGCTGTTTGGGATCTGGACTGGAATATAAAATCGACTTTTGCAAGTTTGACCAACGCTTCAGTACCCATAATGCATTTCTAACAGCGGATTACCTGGCAGCATCCAGCACAGCTCATGTGCTTTTTAGGGGTACAAAGCCACAGCAGCTGCCCACCACACACTGAGACAGACACACACAGAGATGTGAAGACAGACAGTAGACAGAGAGAAAGAGGGAAGCAGACACTTTCGGTGGAACGTGAACTGAACATTTTGAACTGTAGTCTGGTCTCACAGTCAGGCTGTGTGGTTATCCTGCAGCTCAGAGTTTCCCACCGACACATCCACGTCCACTTTAAAATAACAGGCAAAGCTACCCAGTGGTGAGGTGAGCATCATCAAGCCTGCCTTCCCAAGGTGAGCCAACATTAAGTTCTTTAACATCCGACCTTAGATGAACAAATGGTACGGCAACCTCACAGCCACTCACCTGCTTCAGTCTTGCTGCTGAAGCCTGCAACCTGCTTCAGAGCTGCAGCAGTGAGGGCCAGACCTCTGCTCTTCCTCAGACCATGCTGCAGCACCGCTTCAAACTGGGCACACAAGCAGATCACCCTGCAGAGACGCAGACAGGTAACAAGGCAGAGGGAGGTTGATTATTCACTAGTCAATGTGAACAGCGTGTGGACAGTGCTGCAAAGGACGGCGTACAGCGAGGAAGTTGAACAATCCCTGCTATGCTAATGTTTTTAGAATTCATTTATTTATTGACCTTTATTTTAGCAGGTAAAAATGTTTGAGAACCAGTTCTCATTTGCAAACATGACCTGGCCAAGAGGTGCCAGCAGGAACAAATACACATGGAAATTACAGACACAAATAGACACATCAACATAACACAGAACAAAAGCAAACAAGTAAGAAGCATGGGAGCATATGCATGTGAGTGAGAAAAGATGTGCATGAGGTGTAAGAAAGTGTGTGTGTAAGTAAAGTCTGACGTGGTCAGCAGGAGCAACAGTCAACTACAATCTGCTGGATTTTAAGCTTGAAGGTGGTGACTGGAGTCAAAGTTTGAGGGTGTTTTGTAAAGTGTTCCAGTCGTTAGCTGCTGCAAAGCGAAATATTAATTCATGTTGCACCATATTATTATTTAAAAGGCTGCTAAGATGTCCTTGATAAACTTTTGTTGGCTACGTGGCAGAAATGGTAATTAATGTTCAAAAACTGGTGCTACAAGCTCAAAATGAGGCCTGAGCAGCACAGGATATGAAATTTTGATCAAATAGTATTCTCTGTCAGCATGAAGGCGCTTAGTACATAATTTCTCATACAGCTCCTTTTTTTTGAGCATGATTAACATCACTAAACAGAATACTCTCACAGGTTTGATGTGATGAAAAATCGTGGAAACCAGGTTATTTTTTTATTATTTTAGAGTTTTGTTGAGAAGACACTGAAGCTGAGCAGAGCACTGTGCAAAAAGAGGCTGCAGGTGAGAGAAGCACATACCGGAACCTAAAGCACTACATCATCAAGTGACCTGGAACTACACACTGAAACCAAACAACTTCTCTGGAGCTGAATAAACACAGAAATGTTTCTGGGTAACAGGCAGCGTCTCTTACCTGCTGTCTGAGTCCGTGGCAATCTCCTTTCTTCCTCCAAAGCGGATTTGGCACTGGAAAGATATGAGGGGAATGATAATAGCTGCATGAGAAATGAAATACTTCCTCCATTAGGTGTTTGCCTGCTCAGTTCAAAAAGTCTTCGCGCACATAACAGCACATTTCAAACCTTTAATCACGGAAGCAGCTACAGAACCAGTGGTCGATCGAGAGAGCAGAACAGACATTAGCTGACGTCATGTTGTTGAGCTTAAACGAACATTCATTTTACACTGTTAATTGTCTGCATTGTCTCCGTTTGATTCAGTCGGTCTGCACACATTAACAAATTACTAATTAAATAAATAACCAAACAAGTTCTGTAAAAGGAAATAAACCTTATGAATCAAAAATAAAGAACGTTTTACTGCGTTTTAGCAGCATCTCCTACTATTGCTCTGACAGATATGGTGACATCAGATGTTGCAGGAAGTTTACTGTGTTGAGAAAGTGGGGCTCCGTTTTCTTTAGACCCAATAATGATTATCAGTAATCAATGAAACCAATAAAAAATATTTACAATTAACATACATTGGTGGTAAATCTAAAATAAAAGCCTTGATGGCAAAATTTAGAAAACTCCAAAACCTTGCAAAATGTCTTACGATGCTTAATGAAAAGAGAACTTTTTAACATTTACCCATCAGTACTGATTGGCTGTTACTCGAGATGTGTAACCAATCAGATAGCGTTGTAGGTGACACATTGCTTAAGACAACCGAGTGACTACAGGTAGAGAGAGGCGGCTGTATTAGAGCCGGAAGTCATATATTTTATTTGGAACTGATTAAAAAACATAACTATACTGATAACTGGAAAAAGGCTGAATACTAGATTAACCTCTGGTAGCCAGTTAGGCCCCAAGTGATGACGCCAAGTGACGCTACATAGACCATTAGTCATTTCTCTGGTAATTGTGCGATGCAGATTTTCTCTTGAATCAGTCTGTCACTGTACAGAACAGACAGTCTTTTACAGATGTTATACTGTGAACACTATGGAGTTTATTTGTATAACATCACACATCTGGTACCACCTGACTGTGTCTGACAAGGTAAAAAACAGAACATGAATCAAAAGCAAAACAGCAGCATGAATCTCACTTTCAGAAATAACTGCTTGGATCTGGTTACACTTGAAAAGCTAAAAGCTAAAATTAGATATTCACTTCAACACTCATATGGGAAGTTTCAGAAGGCGTGGTGACCTTTTCTTAAATGTGTTTCAAACCTTGTAAACATTTGATAGTACCACGACTTGATGACAGGCTAATACTGAGGTCCATGAGCTCAGTGGCTGTGACTGGGGATTATTTTCAGTTTTCTATTTTTTTTTTATTTATTGTTTGTTTGTTTGTTTGTTTGTTTAACTTTGGTTTTGGTTTTGATACTTAATATTACTCTTTTGTTTACATGCTAGATGTTGACATGTGTCTATACATACGTGTCTGGAATACCTATGCACTATGTCCTGAAAAATAAATGTAAAAAGATTTTGATTTGAAAAGCTAAAAGCTCACTCGGAGCTTCCTGTCATCATGAGCATCTTCACCTGCACATAATGCACATGGTGGTTCTTAAATCCCATGTTAGAGGTTTGTGGAAGCAACGTCAGTGTTTACGGAAGACTTTTACGAGGAAATTCACTCTTTTATTTAACTTTTATGGGTGAACAAACATTTCTTATCTGCAGTTCTGGTTTCACTTTCGGCATCTGATATATGTGCAGTTCAATGTTTCCTCTGGAAACAGGAAAGCACATCTCATCATCAAATCATATCTGGTGTGACGGCGTTGTTTCCTCGTTCTGCGGTGAAAACACAAATTCTACTCGTTATCTTGTTGAACATCAACGTGTTTTCACTAAATTCCACAGAATGCCAACTCAACAGTTCTCAGTTTTGCTTCCTCTAGTGTCTTTTGGTGTAAGTGCAGCAGATAAAGGAACTAAAACACAGTGTTTAATACGTTTTTGGATGTGGAAAAAGACAACAATACAACACTTCATACTTGCAACATGAAACGATTTTTTGACCTTGCAAGCACAACCTTCGATGATCCAATGTAAGTCTCTGTCCATCTCAATTATATCAATGACAGTTATTTGCAACAGAGGTTCCACCACGTGAATCATTTATGACTCCTTTTTACCCACGGCGTCATCTTGTTTTTAGTGAGGAGCTATTATAAGTCATTTTGTGGGACTCTACTGCTGCACACGGCTCATTACGTGTGAAACGTGTAAATAAGCGGTGGAGGTTGGGATGTGCGAGCCCCAACAGGTTTCAGAGCGACGCCGTCTCCAACATAAAGAAGGAAGAGATAACAGCTCACTCACCTGTTTGACAGCATCCAGCAGCCTCTCCAGGAGGTGCTGCCTCTTCGTATCACTCTGTTGAGTGCCTGCAGAGGTAAACACAGACACACAACGCCCACTGATGAGGAATTGAGAAAATATGACTGTAATACAGATTCAATTTACCCGTCGTTGCCTGTTAATGTATTAATTATTCATGTCGAAGAGGAGAGGAAGGAAATGAACTGGTGTAACAAGCATGAGTCCCTGAAAGTTAGCTTCATTTTTATATATAGTGGAAACTTAGCGATTGATGTGCTCTAGTTGCTTTAGAAACTTTAGAGGGAACTTTTACAATATTTACAACCAACAACAGAAAGTTCATTGTGACAAATCTATACTTAATTATATCTATACGTACTATTAAAGAGCCTATGTTATGCTCTGTCTTAACAGGATAATGAAAGTCTCACATGTCTACAGAATGTGTAGTTCAAGACACAGCAGTGGTGTGCTGTCAGGGCAAGCAAGGCTTTATTTGCTGGCCTAAACTCCATCAGAATCACTGACTTAGATTGTAATATTTTACCATTAATCCTTTAACTTTATTTCCAATAGTCTATTCTCTTCATTTCATAGCGTGTTTCTGGGCTGTGGTGCTTCTAGCAGTGTATGTTTATATTAGAGCTTCTTTTTTTTTTTTTTTATCCAATCATATTTCAGCCATCATGTGTTGCCAGGGTCAAAGAAATCTGCCCTGAGGCCCTCAGAATCAGAAGTGCAGACATCTGTAGCTTAAAATGAATTGTAATGAAACTGTTGCTTTAACCAATCAGATTTAGAGTTGGTGGTCCCGGGGCCAGCTGGCTGGCCTTCGATGATGTCAGCACTTTCACGTCCTCTGATTGGATGGTCAGAGAGCTCAGCCAAAGTTAGCAGTTCCTGTCTGTAGCGACCTGCACAAGCTAAAACTTTATCGTAGAAGTATTAATAGCTGTTAAGCAAGCAGACATTCTCTGCCCAAAAGTGAATAAAAAAATTAGAGCAGAAACACGACTGGACGGACCCGACTTTCAGCATTAGCCTCCATGGTGATAGAACAGGACTTATTGTTGGAAGTGAAACGCACGGATGACTGAACTCTTTGCGAGGAAAGAAAGGAGGATGGAGTTTGTGTCCAAACAATCACAAGTTTTGGTGATAAAATGAATTACATTTACATTTATATATATATATATATCTCATTTTACTGGGTTAATATTAATGCTACGCTAGATGTGTTGCAAATGTGGCTGCAGTTAATGGAGACTTATTGAACTGATTTAACTGGGTTACTTGCTGTAATGATGGCATTCATTCTCACTACATGAGATACCTGTCTGCCATGCAACGTCCTGCTATGCTGCCTTTCTGTCATGCCATCATAATAATGGCAATAACAGGTGGTTTGATTCAGGTAGGACGCCAATGAAGGCCGAGATGCAAAATGCACGGCCCGTCACTGTGTTTCAGTGTTTGTAGCTTTAACTTTAACTGAGCTGATACTGTCCTACCGCTTTCAGGATGAGGGCTGCAGGTACATGGACATTTTGCAGGATGGTGAATGCATGACCCGCCTCTGATTGGCTCACCTCGACATTGTTACACAAACACTGGAAGAGCCTTCTCTAAACAGTGGAGGGGGTCTACAACACCACAAATCAGATACTTAGAATGCAGTCTTGTGATCTCTCTCCAGACATTTTGACAGCCATTAGCATCTTGAGGCGACCTGGCAGCATCGCAGCCATTCTCATCTGAAAGCATGTGAGTCTTGGGTAGTTATGGAGCCATTAGTCATATGACAGAACGTATATGACACGACATCAGTCAGTCTGAACTAAAGAAGCCTGGAAGATGAGAGGTGAAGCTTCTCCTTGTGTAAGAAGGCAACTGGACTTCTTTATTCTTACACAAACTCTGACCAGTCTCTCTCTTCACATGCTCATTTGCCAGCTAATCAGGAAGCACTTTCCTCATGAATGTTAATGACTTTTTTCTGGTCACGTTGCAAAAACAAAACCCACCAGCACCACGTCTCTCTGCATCTACTCAGTTGATTGAGCGGCAGAGAGGAATCCTGAGGAGGAGGTGACATCGTAACAGACCGCAAACCCGAAAGGCTCGTTCACTCGTGTACGGAGAAGGAAATGACATGAGATTTTTTGACGTGTAGTCGCACTATGGAGGAAAAATAGGCTTTGATTTTGCTTGTATCTTGCACCACACGAGGACGCTACAGAGTGTTTTAGGATTTACAAGCAAAAAATATCCCATTGCCAATATTTTGACAGCAATTGCGATGGCCACGTGAGTCACAATTTTAGTGGGAATTGTCTTATTTTTTTGGCATTTTAGTGAAAAAAACATGTCAATGATTATGTGATTTTTGCTGCAATCTGCTGCGCTCTTACATCTGGAGAACATGATTTGGAGGTCGGGGCTGTTGACCACAGTGCTTCAATTCAAATTACAACAATGTACGAGCTGACATGTTTCACCTTTATCAAAAAATTGCAGCTCCAACAATTATTGCTCTCAACCATATTGTAATTTCGATAATATTTCTAGTAATTTTTCACAGCTTGTATTCACTTAATAATGCTGCTCTGCTCTCCGCAAATGTTTTAATTTAGTTCGATTTTTTTAAGGGTGATAATTTAGGCTGATCAGAAAATTAATCAACAATAAATTTAATAATTCAATTTGTCATTTTTGTTTAAAAAAAAAAAACTCAAACCACTTTCCGGTTAAAGCTTCCCATCTTATGATATTATTCAATTTATTTAATACAGACCAAGCTCATAATAATAATCATTAGCTGCAGCCCCAATTATATATTCTGCAATGACAGTCTGTGTTGGTGTTTTATTGTTCCTGCATTTTTCTGATTCTCATTTATATTGTTCTAAATATTAGACAGGGGTTTTCCAGCTTTGGGTCAGGGCTCAATTGCACTTCTGCATTTGCAAAGCCACACAGGTCATTGACGTCCACTCAGTCTGGATTCAAGGGGGCAGTTTGTCCAAATCTTTAGCTTCAGGGCTACTAACAGCCTCAACAAGTGGAGTTTGTGTCTCAACAGGTAACTTTAAAATGAAAGTGTTTACCAGGTTGTTGTCACAGTGGAGCAGCAGTTTGTGGATTGTAGATGCAGTGCATACACTTACATGATGGGAATTTGCAGATTTAATATTTAGATGCCTTGACATGTGCATTTTTATAATGTTAACTTGCTTTTGTTTCCTCCAGAGCACAATCAGTGTATTGAACTTTTTATTCACAGGAACACCATCCTCTGCACACTAACACTGGTGAACTAGCTGCAGTGTCTCCCTTCATGCCTGCTTTGAAATGATTTTATGGAAACAGAAAGCAGTGCAACAACTCAACTCACCGTTCATTCTGACAGTCAAACTCCGATAGCAGTGACATCCAAGCTAAGCAGTCCACCGGAGACGCGTTTCCATCCCTTCCTGGAGCTTTCAAATCACAAACACCGGAGGGCTAAGCGTGCACCGGGCCCATGCCGCCTCCGTGGCCGAGCCGGACCCACCCAACCGCGGCGTGAGGACTGATGCTCTCTCGGCGAACAGCGAGGCCTGCCGGCGGAGCCGCTGGAGCTGGGAGCGAGTCAGTGAGACATGGAGGAGTTAAACACAAACTAAGTCGCAGTTAAACTACAGGAAGCCCGAGTCTCAGAGTAGTTCCTGCAGCGTGGAGGGCAGCTGTGGACAGAAACAAGTGTTTTCAGTTTGGAGCCTGTGACACTGCGAAAAAAGGAAACTGACAGAGCAGCGAGGAGGTCACATGACAAAACACACAGCTGTCATATGATCACAGGGGGCTGCTGGGAGTTGTAGTCCTTTGTGGTCACGTTGATATGTACAGTCGTCCTCAAATTTGTTCATACCCTTCCATTAAAGAAAAGGCAAAATTTACAATAGTCACTCAAATAACTATCCATCCACCCATCCATGATCTGGACACCTCTTTATCCTCACCAGGGTCGCGGGGGGGGCTGGAGTCTATCCCAGCTGACTTAGGGTGAAGGCAGGGGACACCCTGGACAGGTCACCAGTCTCAAATAACTAAAAACTGAAAGAAAGAAAAAAGTAATAATAAATAAACTTTTGCTAAATTCTAATTTATTGAAATAAGACATTGCTTTTGAGTTGTGGTTGAAAAGAATCATTTTTTAAAAACTGAACAAATTAGAGCACTTTGCTGATGAGCAGTGGACCAAGATCCAAACACCTGTCAACAGGTGCAGAAGTCTGATGGAGAGTTACAGAAAACACTTGATAGCAGTGATTGGCTCAAAGGGTTGTTCAACTAAATATTAGTTTAAGGATCCCATCATGCTTGTTTGCTTGTTGCTGTTGTTGTTGTTGTTTTAAAATATTTCTGTTGAACCACAATTCAAAAGCAATGTCATGATTTTCATTAAATGTTTTTTTCATATTACTTTTGTTAATTTCAACTTATTTCAGTGACAGCTGTTTTTTTCCTTCTTTAATGGGAGGGTATGGATAAGTCTGAAGACGACTGTAACAGCCATAACTGATTTTGGATTGAATTTAACTAGCAGATATATTATGTAATAATAAGAATACTACCTTACATTTTTAAAATGAAGAATAAAACTGTAAATGGAGATACGTTTTACTGGAGGTCTATAATTATTGAGATGGAGTGAAGAAGGGTTTACCTTATAAATACTGCATTTTAGACAAAGCTGCAGAAGTTCAAACAAATTTAATGAATGTTAAAATGTTACAATATTAAAATAAACCCTACTAACTAGCATATTGCCAAATACATGCATCTTATTTATTTATTCATTCATTTATTTATTTATTTATGACTAAAATGTTTGACAGATCTGAGCTTTTTTTTAAGCTGCTGACTCTGTCTACTCCTTAACACTTGAAATTAAAAATGCAGTATCTACCTGCAGACAGAACTGAACACAATGAAAAAATTCAATGAAAATTGAAATCGTGCTTGTCAGAATCAGACGTGTTGACTTGAGTAATGAAAAACAAGCTAAACTACAGTTTATGTCTCTACAATTTACTTAACAAGTCAAACAGACCTACATTTTATAATCATTAAACAGAAGTACGTTGAATTAGCTGAATAGTCGTAAATCACACTGCATAATTAGAAGGAATAACACATCTAACAATTACATTTAAATCCACAGACTCGCCAGATCATTACTTGGTTTATTTGAAAGTATGCAAGAAAATCTAAATGTTAATCATTAATAATTCATTATTTCTGTAAATTTATTAGCATACCTGTCAGTCAGTTTGAAATGTTTACAGTTACATAAAACCAAATGAAGGCACATAATGACTAAGACATGACAGTGGGCCAGAAAACTGCAGCAACGTTCACCATCATTAGGTTTATAATCTATGTTTGCTTTTCCTGCTGTGACATGTCCAAATGCTTTGTGTGAGAAATGCCTCTGACTGTTTCCCATCTCTGAATTTACATTTTCAAATTCATCCTCATTTTTCTTATTTTTTTTCATTTATTTATTGATTTTAAGTAATATAGGTGCTGCTGCTACACTGAAAGTGTTTTGGTTGTTGTTGCTTCTCTTGGACGTTCGACTGTCATTCAACCGACAGACGTGGAGCAGGATTTATGCAGTTCCTGACTGCAAACAGACTAAGACTTCCAGTAGGAGACATCTTTCACCAGTAGCTGGAAAGATTTTGAATTTTGAATGAAAGAGGAGACGTCAATGGCATTTTTAAAAAAAAAGAAAGAAAATCAAAATCAGACACAAATTATTATCAAAGCAAAGTATTTATATATATATATCTTTAAACATGCCTGGAGTGGATTTTTAAGATAGTAACACACAATTATAACATCTTACAAACAAATTAGAAAGCCTGAACACATCCATTAAACATTCCAAGAGCTGGTGGAAGAAGTCAGTATATGATTGGATTGAACGTCTGGTGGATCCTCCTTTGGCAGCAAACAAGTTTCCAGCAGCTGCACATCAGACCTGCACAATAATGTTTTTGGACCATTTTTCCTCACAGAACGGCTTCAGCTCAGCAGTTTTCTTATGATTCCTGGTGTGAACAGATCTCTTGAGGTCAATCTACAGTATCTTAAGGTCTGGGCTCTGACTGGGCCTTTCTGAAAGGTGCAGTTTCTTTGTTTGAGGATGTTCTGTTGTAGATTTACTTCAGGGATTAAGGTCAACGTCCTGCTGACACAGACACGAGCACACTGCAGGGCTTAAAAGTAAAAGCAGCTACAAATGTTCTGGTGACAGATCTAATAAGATTAAGCCTCTCATTATACCCTCTGTTTTTTCTATTTACAGTCACCACAGCCTTCAAAATCTAGGAATCAGCAAACGTGACTGACAACAAAAACAGTGACTGGTGAGAAAGCTGAAGGCTTTAAATCAGTGTTATAGTGTACAAAGTTTACATCTTATCAGCAAGATATGAGCATGTGAATCTTATCTAGACAACACCTGACCGCTGTCTAATCATTACTGGTGTATGTAAGATGAGCAAACACAAAATCCAGTAAAATGATGAGCAATGGAAGCAAGTATAAATATCCACATTGAGCGTCTCTTGGTGGGATTTACAGTCTGTCATGTGTAGGTTTATATTGATATGGATTCTCTCACAAATTCATTTGATGAGGATGTGACGGTGTTGCTATAGACAGTGGAGAGAGCTGCATCTGTAGTGTTGTCCGCTCTGGAGGACCTGCCACTCCTTCTGAAAGAGCTCCTGATCCCGCTGGCCACGCGTTGGGACACCCGCCTCACAACCTGGCTGATCCCCCGGTTCTTCAGCTTCATCTTTCCCACGTCGTCCTCCAGCTCCTCCGGTGGCACGTCGATGTTCCCCGAGTACCAGAACACCCACCAGATCAGGCTGAGGAAAATGATGATGGACCCAGCGTAGATGAACAAATCGTGGATGATCAGCCCTCCAAACACCCCCACCATTATGATCAAGACGCCCAGTATGTCGTGGGCCACAGCGAACCAGAACGAGCACTTGCAGCGACCCACTCCTTCGTACATCTTCTCCATGACTGGCTCCACCTGCACAGACGTTGACATGTTGGTAGTGGAGACCCTCCAAACCAGGGTTAATCCAGATGTGGGACAGGTGCTGATGTATCTGCGGGACGACGAAGAGAGAATCCTCACTTGTAGAGCGAGACACACAAAACAACCTGCTCTGGTCAAAGTGCAATGTGCACAGTTGGTTATCAGCTGGAACCACACCAGCCTGACTGTATTGGATGTTTCAGAGTTGCATCATCACTGACAAAAATAGCAATTCCACTTTCACGCTACAAACTCATTTCCATCTTCTGTTCAAGCCCCCTGGCAGAACCGTTTCCTCCTGTGCTTCTCCTTCAGGATGGGGATCCACACCAGCCCCACCACCACAAACATCAGCCCTATGGACAGGCAGGCCGAGGCCACCGAGCGGGACGCCTCGGTCACCCCCGAGGACTGGAGCAGGAAGAGGAGGCCACCTGCAGCAGACATCAGAGAGCCCATCACCATCACTATGATGGGTTTGTGGAGGTGGGCCCAGCTCGGGGCGGCTGCAGCTGCTGACTGAGCCTCTGGACACAAGCTTTGACTCCCAGACTCATCTGGAAATGAAGTTTCTCCAATTGCTTCCATGGTTGAAACGGTGTCTGCGAACGCTTTGCTTCTCCCCTCTGAGAGGCTTTAATGCGCGAATAATGGAGACCCCAGACCTCTGAGCATCAATGGGGGCTTTCTTCTGTAATTCTGTCCCCGTTTGTTCTCCCAGTCCGTGCTGAAATCGATTGTGAATGCGGCTACCTCCCAAGCAGTCACACGAAGGAGCTGTATGTATGATGACCAAGTGAGTGTCTGAATGATGCATCTCCTCCTCCCCTGCCCAGTAACCCGTGAACGAGCTGTAATTCCAGATGGCCCACCGCTCCCACAAAGCTGAGGGAGGGCTTGGATGAACAGACAGACCCAGCCCACCCGCTAACAGCAATATCATCACCACTGACTGGATGACTACTCAGTAATCATCCTGTTACATTACACCTCCCAAACAAACATACTGTCTATTGAAATGCTGAAAAGGATCGGCCTGAGTGAAGAACACGCTGTATGCCCGGTGCCTTCAGACGTAACAGCGTTGTGAAGATGCAAAGCCCAATACAGTGCATTTATGTGAGCCCATGCAGCATTATTACATGCAGGCAGCAGCTGCACAAGCCAGAGTATAATGTCTTTAACAATAGACGTGTCACCTGATACAGCTGGCAGCTAAGCAAGCACAGAACTGATGGCTGCGTCCGCTACGAGCAAACAGTTCAAGGCTGAAGCATCGACAAACACATGCAAGTTGTGTAAACTGATCATATTTAAAAGTTACACGCTGTCATAACATAGCAAAGTGATTTATTTTCCTGCTTTTTGTACAAAAACTCCAAAACATGATATTATTTAGGCTGATATTAAAGCTGCAGCTGCACTATTCATTTTCATTTTTGATTGATTTATCTGTGAAATGTCAAAAACTGAATTAAAAATGCTGCTTTCAGAGGGACAGCGGAAGAATTTAAACCTGAAACGTACCCAGAACAGTGAATCGACTATCAAAATCAAAGTAATTGCCTATATTCTCTGTTTTTCTTTCACTCAACCAAACCATAGTTGTACATTTAAAGGCTTAACCCCACAAATATGTTGGTTTGTTTTTCCACTGAAAAAGTATTACTTGATTATCCAAATGGGCCACATCTCTGTCGATTATCTAAGGGATCACTTCAACAGGAAAACTGTAGAGAAAAGTACTGATGATTTGAGGTTTTCTGCTGCTACTGTCATTGAGAAAGACTACTTACAGTAAAAGAACCCAAAACCGTTGCTGTTAGAAGGTTGTGTCATGTCTTAAAATCATGATGTGGTAATTCCAACCTGGAGAAATGCTTTCTTTGAGCGTCTAAAAGCATTCTGGGATGTTAGCAGATCGTGATTTGTTTGAATCAGTGATGATTAATCACATTAGGTCATCTCCGCAACCGTTCCAACAATCAGAGAGGAATGTCTGAGTGGTCAAAAAGCAGACGTGCTTAAAGTTTGAGATTCTTTTTAGAACATCATTTAAGAATAGATTAATTCCTGAAAACTTAAGAAAAAAAAACAAAAACTAAACAGTGTGCGATATAAATCACCACTGCTATAGTTGAAAGTATTTCAAGAGTGACAGCGATTTTGTAATGTGGCCTCTTTACAGCACCACAATGTATTTGAAATCACAAAGATGTGATTGAAGTGCAGACTTACAGCTTTAATTCAAGAGGTTTAACAAAAACATTAACTATTTAGGAATTACAGCATAATCCTTTTCTTCTCCATAATCCTTCCACTATCACAGGCTTAAAGTAATTGGACAAACTAACATACTTGTAAATGTAAGGATTGTTTATAATACTTGGATGCAGTCAGTGTCTGAAGCCTGATTTCTTTCCCTTGAGATGCTTTAAATGTCTTTACTGCAGCCGCCTTCAGTTTAGGCTTGTTGCTGGGTTTTTCTGCCCTCAGTTTTGTCTTCAGTAAATGAAAAGTTGCAGAAGTGGGCTGAGTCTTTGTCTGAAAAACTTCTTGAGCTGTCCTCACAGTATGTTTCGCATCATTATCCATCTATCTGTACTGTGAGGCGTCGTCCCACCAGCTTTGCAGCATTTGACTAGATCTGAGCAGGAAACAGTTCAGGACATTCAGAATATATCCTGCTGCTTCTATCTGCAGTCACATCAATAATAAACACCAGTGGTCCAGCTCCACTCGCAGCCGCACGTACTGCCAACGATCCCTTCATTCTGGCACAAATTCATCAGTTTCTTCGTGTTCCAAACCCAGACAAGGAGTCTCGTCAGATCTTCCTGTTCCTGAGTTTCACCACAGGTTTGCATCTTGAACTAAACTCTCTGCCTTTATGTGAATGAAGGTGTCTGTTGTTTGTACTTTTGACAAACATACGACAACCTCCAGTGTACCCGGCTTGGCTCGCTGCTGTGAAGAAGTTTTTCTTCACCAAAGACAGAATTCTACCGTCGATCATTTGTTGTCTCACAGGCCTTTTGGCAATGCTGAGATCCACTGAATTCCTTCTTTTTTTTTTAAGAATAAATCAAATTGCAGCCATTCCTGAAGTTCCTTCCATCTCTCTGACAGGTCTGCTTGGTTTCTTCAGCCTCCTTCATGTACATCAACACCTCTTTTAACTGCTTGAGTGTTTCCACAAACTGCTACCAAAAGGAAATTCAACACTTTAAGCTCCTCAAACAGACGACAGCCATTAAAGTGCTTATCAGTAAACTGTCCAGTTACTTTAACGCTTTGTAAAGATGTACAGAGGCAACATTATGTCACTGTCCAGAACATCCCAACACATCTGTGTATTTAAATAACCACTGGCCATTTGTGTTTTTCACAAAAAGAATTTATATTTGACAAGATGAAAGTCACTGGTTTTATTTATAATGTTAACTGTTGCACCATTTTTAACTGTATTTCAGGCTCCGACGCCGTTTATTGTCTCACTGTTGTAGCTTTTTGACACACTCAAATGAAACAGCCACTGATAACAACGTTAGTTCCACCTTTGCTGTGACAAATAAAACAGTCTCCTGAGGAAAAAGACACCTTCAGAGAAGACAAAATTTCAGGTGACTATCTTTATAATATGGTTCATTAAAGCACAAACAGACAGTGAGTATAACGGCCGTTCTATGAACAGTGTGGTCCTGCGAACTGTGTCAAACGTCCATGTCGAGAAGGTGAAGATGCTGAGAATCATTTCACTTTCGGCACTTTTCTTTTTGCTTTGGAGTCCGTCTTGGCCGTCTTCTTGGTCAGTTTGCTCTGAGCTTGTTTTGCTTTCTTCCCTGCAGCAGGTTTGGGTGCTTTCTCCAGCTGCTTCTTTTTGGACGGCTTCTGCAATAAAGAGAGGAAATGTGTGTTTTTAATCCACTAATTAAAAACACAGAAATGCCGAAATTGCTCCAAACTGTCAGTCGAAACATTTTAAAGCGGTTAAAGCTCTTAACTCTGGCAGCTGTGAATAGTACTGACCTCCAGTTTAGGCTTTTTGCTAGGTGTTTCTATGGGAACCAGCTGTGGGATTTCTTCATCGTCCTCTTCTTCTTTCTCCTTCACCGCCTCCTTTTTCACCTCCTTCTTCTCCTTTCCCTTCTTCTCTGCAGGAGAATCTGTTTGCTTTTTGCCTTCCTTCTTGTTCTTCTTTGCTTTGTTCTGCTTTTTAGGAGTTCCCTGAAATTCACAATCAGTTATTGTCCTGATTGGATAAATCCTGCTTCTGTACAGATCAGTCTTTTCAACACTTCCTTTCACTCACCTTGTTTTTGGGAGTCTGACTCTGGATCTTCTCGAGCTCGGTGAGGTGGCTCAGGTCTGAGGTGTAGATGGGAAGGGCCACCGACGTTTGACTCTTTACATGGATGAGCTTCATCACCGGTCCTTTCTGTAAACGACGATCACGTCAGCGACACAATGAAATATTCATCTGGAACTATTTGGATAGTAAACAGCTGAAGTCGTTTTTTAAGCAAAGCTGTCAAACATTGGAAGGTTCAATTTCTTTCATTATTTATATTTATTCTTTATATAATCTTGATTCAAATTGTTTTATGTCAGTAACCTGTTAAATTATGCTGCTGGCAAGAATGTTTTTTAATCACAATTAAAGTGTTTTTCTGGTTGTAAATCTAATTTTTTTATGATAAATTAAAGAGTTTTGGATATTTTGTCCTGCTGTCTTTTTTTCTTCCATTGTTGATGCCAATTGGGAAGGTTTAGTTATCATATGTTGCTTCTATTACAGTCAGCTCTCTGCAGCCGTTGTGCTACATGGAGCATTGTCTTTCCGACAGCCAAGACGGGTCGAAGCCGTCGTCCTGTCCTTGTTAGTGGGTGCAGCTGTAACTTTATCAGCTGCGTTCTGGGCAGGACGAGCTTCTCTGCAGCAGAGCTTCTACCATCCTTGTCACTTTCACAACTAGCACAGATATTTGAGCCGGAGTGTCAAACATCTGGGACTGACAGGAGGACATCTGTCCATCTTTAGCTTTAGACAGACTAAAACTTGGTAGAAAGTTTGTAGCATAACAAGTTGTTTTCAACTCAAGTAATCAAGTAATTTTCACTTCACTGCTCTGCTCCACCCCGTGTGGCTAAGTCTAAAACACACATGGTGAAACAGGAAGCAGAGGAGAGACGCTTGTGCAACCGTAGGCCAAACGACAGCAAAACACAGTGCTACTCTGACAGTGAGCTGAAATAACCACGTGCACTTACAAGAGGTTAATTTGGTGAACACCTCCCAACCCCCGACCCACATGAAAACACACAACAGTTCTTCGGGTTGCTAAACTCACCGTCCGTAGTTTGGCTGCCACTGTTTGGACGGCAGCCATGATGTTTTCCGTCACCTCGTCTGCAGTCATGCCGGAGTGGGCAACACGTGCCATACTACAACACAGGCCGCCATGCAAGATCACACAAGGTTAACAGCTGAAACTCGACTCAGAAGGTGATACAGCATCAGGACAAGGAGAATAAAGGCAGGTATTTTTACATTTAAGGTGAACCTGACATTATATATTGTGTATCAAAGTTGTAGAGACAGGCTCCACGAGAGGAGGTCCATCTGGATTTACATTGAATCTCTATGGCACCGACTTTACCCGTATCAAACAGACAGAATTGACAGGGTTGCTGTAAAGTGCTTTTGAAATCTCCGACAACAAACAAAGTAAATACATTTTTTCAAGACTAAATGTTATTCTGCTGCTGAAAAGCTGCAAAAAGGAGAAAACTGAAGTCATTTCTGTTTTTGTTGGAAACACAGAGGACGTCTCACCAGCAGCAGCCTTTGTTGGTAACCTTCATGCTGGTGCCCTGGATGACTCTCTGGATGTCTCTGGCCAGATGTTTGCTCTGCAGGTCCACAGACAGCGGCTCTCTGGCAAAGACGGGAACAGAGTAAGAATACAGCCACAATGCAGTCACATATCAGCATTAGGCACTATATTAAACAAAAGTTTGCTGCATCTTCTTTATGCAATTGGATTCTGTCCTCATCTTTTCAACATTTTTTCACTCCACTACTGAATATTCAACTCTTTTTTCCTTTTATATGGCTGTTTATCTGGGTAGGCATTTTCTCCCTCAGCTGAATGCTTCAGTAACGGTCAATATTGCTTGATGCTTTAGATTGAGTTGCTTTTTAAATCCAATTTCTTGCATTTTCTCGAACAGATCCACCACTAACAGATGGTTTGCCAGTGGCTCCGATGAATCACCTGCTGTGAGTCACTGAGGAAGCAATCCCACTGACACGAGAATACTTCACATTTAATGAAATGTAAATAGGATGACTGGTTGATCTCAAGAGTAAGAACATTTCTCCTCCCTCACTTTAACCGTACAGCTAGAGTGTAGAGAGCAGCATAAGTAAGCTAGATATTGAAAGCAAACAAATGAAAAACAAAACCAATTCTCTCCCTCCACAGCCACTCTATTAAGACACATTAACTCACACTGCTGGAGGATTAATCCATGAGAAGGAAAGTGTTGGTGGGGAACACTGAAACTACCTCATGTCTAAAAACATGCAAACAGGCAACATCACCACATCTGCAAACCTTTCGTGCAAAGCCAACATGGACTAACATAAGATAAATACCATTAAACAACACTTGCTCACAGCTGGGCTACATGCACACAGATGGCCAACATCTACACAGATACACGTAAACATACTAATGGAACTAAGGCAGGATGGAGACCACATTGACAGAGCACTGAAAGACTCACAAATACAAATGGACGCCATCATCTGGCATGTTCAGCAGAGCAAGATGTTGTAAGTTTAGGTGGAACTGTAAAATCTGGCTGCACAAGCTGAGGTCAATTTTTTCTGTCATCTCTTGGGAGCAGAAATGTACGAACAAGCAAAATAGATAATCTCATACAGAAGAAAATGTTGTGCTGTAAAGATTGAAGCAAAATGTTCTCCATTTGTTTACATGTATAACGTTCAATTCTGAGATTCTGTGAATGTGATCCACACACAACTGACATAACAGCATTACATCAGTAATAACACGGACAGGACGGCTCTTACTTTTTTCTCTCGTAGAAATGTTTTCCGATGTGGGAAGGCAGCAGGCGGCGAATGCGGGCATCAGAAAGAAACAGATCAAAGTTCCCCAGCAGGCGGCGCTTAGCCTCATACGGTTTATACTCTGTCTTCAACACCTTGTATGGAATGATCTGCCAAAGACACACAGACACACGATTATTTTCAGTATTTACAGAGGTGTTATTGTAGAATAAAAACCTTTTAAGATGGTACTAAAGCTGTGCAATAATCGGTTTCCAAATAAAAATGAAACTAAATGCCTGCAATTGGAGATATACGAGGTAGGGCTATTAAAGGATGGGGCTAATGCGGAAATTGAATCTTTTTTAATTTGAAAAGACAAAGACTTTCTAGGTTTGTATATGACATAGTTTATCTATGGGTATTTAACGGCCATACTGCGTACATTTTACAAGTCTGCTCCAGACTTTCAAAAATTAAAACCACACAAAACATGACAGCACTTTAGTATGGACACAAATATGCATTAACATAAGGCCTGTAAATCATACGATGGCACTGTGAGCGTAGTGAACAGTGAATGTGTACTGTGTGTGTTTGAGACTATGTGTGTGCGAAATGTGCACTGTTTATTACTTCTTTTAATTTATTTCTACTTTATATTTTTTTTACTTTGTAACATTTTTCTACTTTCAACATATTCATCAAGCACGGTGCACTTAAACTTAGTTGTATGTCTAAACAATGACAATAAAGAATCTGAATCAAATTATATAATCTGTCAGGAAGATAGCAATTAGACATTTTCCTCTAATCATCTATTCCTCATTGGTATAACAACACAAGTAGTTAGTCAGAGTAAGGATGTATAACTCACTGTGGTTGATAAACTAACCTTGAAATCCTGAATGTACATTATAGTTAATAGTGCATTTACTCCAGTTAAACACTGTGGCTGTATTCCAGATCACACTTTTTTCTTTTAGTGTGCACTACAGCCACCCTTACAAAGTACTCACTCTTCCATGCTGTATGCATACAGTTGGAACATTCAACTCTGTCATAACTATGTGCCTTAAACTTTAACCATTGCAGTCGTGTGAGCGGTCATCGGTCTGTGTGTTGTAGGTGGCTCAAGCTTGTTTATACTCGCATGGGACACTGTGACCTAACAGCACAGAGGATTGTGGGTCAGAATGACCAGAAAAGCAAGATGGCTTGCTTTCTCCAAAATCTGTATAGATATAGTAGGACCGCCGGTATTTTGGCCATTCTATGTTTTGGAATACTGCACACCTTTTTATGTCATGCAGCTGTTAATGCTGAAATGATCAAAGTGGCTGTTGTCACTGCTTCATAAACTCTATGACTGGCAGGTACCTCAGATATGTTTTTGACACCTTTCTCCTCAAGGAACTTCTTATAAAACCTCTGGGTCTGCTCTGAGGTCATCTTGGGCTCATCTCTGGTGAAGAGGCAAATCTCATCTGTGTCAGTCCGCTGGCCATGAGGCAAAGGACTACAACAAACAAACAACAAGACAATTACGAAAAAAGCCAAAAGCAATTACCCCTGATCAGATGTAGGAAAATAACTGCTAGAGAAGAAGTCCAGGCAGGATCGTGTGTCTGTGTGCTGGACTCACATGCGGATGGTCTGTGGCTTTTTAGGGATCTTCCACAGGGTGAAGAGAAGGGTGACCTGCTGTGTCTCGTCCAGGAACAGCGACTCGCCAGAGGCTTTGGTTTTGAGGAAAGCCTGCAAAGCCTGGACGGCCTTCTTCACCTGTCAAGACACATTAATGTAAGCTACAAAGAAAAATACTAATTCACCGACCAACAGTTTTTTTTTTTCTTCCAGGGATCCATGCAGAGCTGCTGTGAATTAGCTTAGCTTCGAGGCTAAACCCCCGTTAGCCAGCACACAAACCAAGCAACTGTTGATACATAATAACATATTTTATCATTACCATGTAAGAAACACTTTTACTGCCCTACATGCGATGATTAAAGACTTTAAATATATTACAGCGAGGTGGAAGAAACTTTTACCTGAGCCCGGTCTAGTGCGACTTCTGTTTTTTCAGCCATGCTGCCTGCTTCACGTGTAGTCGGCACGCACGCATGCGCAATGCTAACGCTCTACGTCACGTAATACAAACTTCACAACTTTATTTGTACGACAAAACTGAACAATTACAGCCAACATGCCAACTGGTTTAAAATGAATTCTTTATTTGAGTGAAAAAGTAGAATTTATATATGACCACCTAATTTGAAAAACGGAGGTTTGTGAAATATAACTCACAATAAAAAATGAAAATATAGGGGAGTTTAAAAGGGTAAAAATAGCATCTTTGTGAAATTATTATTAATAGTTTGTCATAAGATTATTATTGTTATATCTTGTGATAAACTATGCATTCTAATATGTTTGTTAAAAAAATACAACAAAGGGCATAGGTTTCATCTGAACACTGGACAGGGGCTCGAGGTCAAAAAATTTATTTTCTGCATTCATGTGATTTTTTTATGCACCAACTTGTGTCTTTTTTGCAACGATTTATGATGAAAATGTTTTTTATATATATGTAAAGGAAAATACAACATTCATTGGACATCAGGTAACAACTACAAATTGCAGTAACGCTGCATTTCTGTATTACTTTCAATTATTTATCCTCCTATAAATCAACTTTTCTCATTTCATATCATTCCTGCTGAGCTGACACACTATCAGTTGGATTTACTCTTGCATCTGCTTGTGTTTGGGGTTATTTCCAAAGGTGGCATGTGGTTTTATTAGGGAGGACAGATCCAAGTGTTATATTGAAAGAGACATAACCTCTGTGTCTCCTCCTTTAACCTACATTTTTCAAGGATAAGAATCTTATAGTCTCTCGGTGATGGTGTCAGGTTTAATGTCCTGCTTCACCTGTTCATAAATAAAGTGGGCAAGAAACTGAACAAGTGGATGTCTGGTGCAGCAGCTCCAGCAGGTGTATAAATGGGTGAAAAGGATGTAGAATTAGAAAGTCCTTTGTCTGTTAAGGCAGAGATGTGCCTTATACGTGCATTCAATCTACCATTCCACACATACACACATTCCATCCCTATTGTGAATATGTACTAGAAATAAAACATGCACACCGTTCTGTTTCAGCTTGATCATTTATTTTTCATTTTAGATTATGTAACAGCTGTGTGTGTGTCTGTCTGTGTGAGTGTGTTTATCCTTGGTTCATCAGAGTAGTATGTGAGCTCAATCCAATTAAACCATCTCATGTGGAGAGAGACCAAACTAAAAATTTTGGTACAGCAATCCTTAAAACCAAATAAAATGTCCACTGGATTCCCACTCTTGAAAAGGGAGATGCAAATTATAATTACAGGCTAACTCTGGTCTTTTGCAGGACATGAAATCATTCTGAAGGTTTTTTTTTTTCTTCCCCAAACTCAGTAACACTGCATCCATCTCCATTCTAAAAACAAATGGCGTGGCCAGCCGACAGCGCGGTTAGCCCTGGGAGTACAGAAGGGGGACATGTAGCTACATTAGTGGCATAGCTGAGCTCTCAATATGAGAAAGCTGACACACTGGACTTGGTCTCTCATTTCGTATTGTTCATCATAAAAACTGATTCAGTCTTATTTTCTTCATTTGACGTGATTTTATTCTCCTCCTTCTACCCTCCTTGTTGTTCTTCTCTTCAGCATAGTTGTGTATAAAGAGAGAGTAGCTGTTTGGGTCGGCTCTAGCAGCGTTTCTCCTCTGGTAGCGAGTGGAAGAACTCCATGCATGCTGCCATTGTTGCATTTAGTCCTTTTCTGGCACCAGCTTCAGCACTTTGCCAATAGCGATAGTTTTGCCTGGTGATATGAAGAGAAGTGAGGGACCAAATTATGTTTTTGTATCACTAGAAAGATCAGCCAGACGTGCATAAAAGTTACGTAACATGCTAGTAATAATAGTCAAACTGTCTTGCAAACAAACACCCACGGCGTTCTTACCTTCGTCTCGCAGAGTGAATCGCCCCATCTGAGGGAAATCTTTGAAGGTTTCTAAGCAGATGACTCCTGCTGCCCTCAGCCTGGCGATGCACACCTGGTCCTGCTTAACAAAGCGTGGTCGTGTTTTGCTTTTCTCCCCCGTCTTCTTGTCCACCAGGCAGATTAAGGCCTGTGGTTGCAATTAGATGAGATTAACCACAGTCTAGTTGGAACAGGAGGCGATCAAACACCACTCGCTGAGCAAATTAAATAATTCAAACATATTCTAGTCATGTCAAAAATGTTGTTCTGTAGAGCAACAACTTACTGTGATTTGCACTTCTTCAATGCAGGTGTGGATGTGAAGGACTGCATTGTAACCAGGACATATGATTGATTTGTGCTCGATGATGACGATCTGAAAAGAATGAAATGAAATGAGAAAGATGGGGCTTTTAGAGAAAAAAACAAACAAAATACAGTTGATTTCACTGACTAACCCACCAACTATTTTTTTACTTTTGAGTACTTAAAACACAACAAAGACTATATGCTAATTCATGTGTGTGTATAGTATGATCCCAGGGCTGCACAAATACAGTGAAAACAATAATCACAATCATGACTATTCACTAATTTTTAGGGCCAAAACATTTCTATTGCACTTTCACATTTAAACGGAGCACTGTTTCCACTTCCATGTTGTTCTTACATTCCTGCTAATGTACAAATCTTTGTGAATCAAAATAATATTCCCCAATAAAGTTGTTCTTATGTCAGAAGCCAAAAGAAAGTAATTTTATCGACATGGTCTGTTTTCTAAGAGTGGAGTCTTCTATGAGCAGTGCAAACCTTTTAAAAAAACATATTATGTATATGCTTAAAGGTTTATAATTGTTTATTTGGGATCTAAAATAGGTTTACATGCTTTAATATTCAAAAAACAATATTCTTCTCATACTGTACATTGCTGCAGCACCTCCTCTCATTCTCTGTCTGCAACACTCTGTTCTAGCTCCTGTCTCTCTAAGGTCTCCATCCCCAAAGGCCCAGTCTGCTCTAATTGGTCAGCTGGCCCGACAAAAGCGAGGTAATGATGGTTATGTACTGAACCCCAGATCTATGAGTACAGGCAGAAAGAGAAAACTCTAGCAGAAGCTGTACTGGTGAGAAAATATTGGGGGGACTGTTAGGGAACTGGCTTATTTTTTGTTCGAGCTGTCATAAAAAAACTAATGGAAGAAGTGTCTTGTGCAGGTAAGAAGTAGTGTTTGCTGTGAGAGAGAACAGCTCGCTTTAGCATGGACTCAGGTTTTGTTTGCAGATATTTTACATGCATGAAAACCAGCTATACAACACAATACAGGAATGTGAACAACCTGGAAAGCCCAATATGGACTCTTTAGCTGTTAATATTCCAGTGGATCATGTTGATTGAATTGTGGGAACGCCAACATCATGATTGTAATTAATATTCAATTAACGGTGCAGCCCTAGTGTGATCTGTTCAAATGGTTTGTTTTCATTAGAACTCTTTTCAAGCCTGAAGAAAAATCATTACAAAAGAAAAACAGAAAGATTAGAGACTTGGAGATTATTTTGTGCAGAAAGTTAAATTAGTTTCTTATTTTATACCCAGAAGCTGAAAGCCGCTGAACCCACATCCTCTGATTGACTCAAAGCAAGCTACAACATTAAAACCTGCATCGTGGTACGTGCTAGTAAAGTGCGTCTTGAGCGAGTCTTGTAAAGAAATCCCCCATTTCCTAAAGTTTATCACTGCTGCTCTCTGTGCATTTTCTCTAAACAATAAACAATAAATCAAACCACAACAGACACACTGGTGACTGGCTGGCTTTTAACAGCGGCTCGGTATAAATGTCTGGGTTGAAAACGAAACATTTCGCAGCGCAACAATCCCGCCCACAAAGACTGTGCTTGGACAGACCTTAACCCCAATCATTTGTTGCTGTTGCTATGCCAACCTAGAGAAGGATACATTTACTTTAGTGTTTTATTTGAGAGAGCAGCACACAAAGACATCAATAGATTAAATACAGGGGCGTGTGGTGAGGAGTTTATCTGGAACAAATGAGAACTAATCAAGCCTGTGGCTGTCTGAACCTTCAGCTCGAAGAGTTTGATTTAAAATCTCAGTCAGATGTCGTATACCAGCGTACAGAGACTATGATGGTCTGGTCTTTACCTGTGCATCAAAGGTGCGACCAGAGTGGCAGAGGTTGTCGGGGCTACAGAGAATAAAACCAGGGAGGATTTCTTCCTCCTCAATGCCCTTCAGCCTCAGCTTTAGGTTCTCCCCAGGACCTGCATCGTCTGTCTCCACGTCGTCGCTCAGCAGGCTCAGTACCTCCACTGTGTGCTGCAACAAACACACAGAATTACTAGTGAATGTTGTAAATGAGGACAATGTTGCTGTACTGAAACAAGAAGTCTCATTAGAAGAGAAACGGAATATGTGTGGTTACAGGACCCCCTTTCACTTCAGGCTGCAGTACATCCAGTACTAGAATGAGGGCTTCACGTTATTTCAAGTAGACAGCTTATTGGTCCCTTGGGAGACTGAGCAAAGTCATGCAGAGGAGAACTCACCCTGTTCGGCATCATGACCAGCTGCTGGGCTTTACTGATGCATCCAGACTCCAGCTTGCCGAGGATAACTGTTCCCATATCCTGCAAACCAACGTTGAAAGAGATCAACGTTAACCATCAGTGAGTTTTGAAAAATACTGGTCATTTTACATATGTATAAATATATATATAAATATTTAGGGGGCTTTTTTGCCTTTATTCAGAGCAGTAGAGATAGACAGGAAAGAGGGGAGAAGAATGGGGAGAGGGAGTCGAACTCACGACCGCTTGGTCAGGGAACTATAGCCCCTGTGCTACAGGGACGCCCAACACATTAGTCATTTTTAATATAATGGAGAAGTTACTGAAACAAAGACAAGAATCCTTGACTTTGTTCAAATAAGCAACGTGTTGAAACAAAACACACAAGAACATATATCCTGTCTCATGAGTGTGGACCACAGTTCACACATGTTGCTTTACATTGTCAACTGAATGCACTTTAAAAAAAATACAGTATATGTTGCTGCTAACTGAAACTCATGT